AAAAATTATAACTTTTACTTTTTACACTATAGTAATAATTTGCACAACTATAGCTAAAATAGTTAAGAATATATATATAGTAGATAAACTTGCTATTTTTCTTTAGGCATTTCTAGCAGAGATCTTATAAGATCTAACCTACTATAAAAGCTACTAGTGCCTTAGCTACTTTAGGGCGTGTAACTTTAATTAGAACTAGGTTAAAGCTGTTCTAAAAAGAATTAACTTATGTACACACTATAATAATCTAATTTATTTGCATCTTAACTAACTTTAAATAAGCTATTATAACTTTTACATTTAGATCTTTTATAAACTTAAGGTCTATTAGGCGCCTAAAAAGTCCTATTATCTTTATAGCAGTCTAGACCCCTTTATATAGCAGCTTTAGATTAATAATTTTATATAAATTAGTATCTTTTATAAAAAAGTTAAACTACTTAAATTTACTACTTAAAAGTTTAAGCTAAAGTATAATCTTTTTTTTTTTTTGCTTTTAGTTAGCTTTAACCTAGCTTTAGCTAAATCTATTTAATAAAGTAAAATAATTAGAGTTAGAGCAGGTAGAGCCTAACCTATGCCATATCTGTAATATCTATACTAGGAATATAGTGGCATGAACTGCTGCTAGAAAGGGTACAGTCTGCCTAGAGCAAATAAAAGTGCTTTATGTTAAGGCTACTAGGTGTTCTAGTACAGACCCTAAGCCTGCAGATATTAACCCTAGGCCTGCAGATATAGACCTTGCAGTAGCAGATATAGTCTGTAACTTAGCTAATAGGTAAATTACTGCTAATGTTCTCTATAGCTAGATATAAGTTAGATATAAGTAAAAGTAGGCTATAAAAAAATATTATTAGTTTAATTTCTTTTTAAGTTATATTAATCTAGATTAATTTAGATTTACTTACACTTTTACTATACTATTGCTAGCTTTAATCTTAGCTGCTCTACAAGCTGTACAGTCTAGTCTAGCTAAAGGCGCAGGCGGGCACTGTCTAGTTTAGTCCTGCCTGCAATGCTATTAGACTTAGGCAAGACTGCGTGTCTTCTAGTTAGAACATATTAGGCATAAAAGGCAAAAAAGTAAGTCTTAATAACATGTTATTTAATAAAGTAAGTTTATTATTATCTAGCGCTTTTATTTTTCTTAATTAGCCCTAGATTATAACATATGTAAAGTAAAACTTACTATTACTATTAGCACTAGCCTTTTTAGCTAAAAGGTTTTAGCCTCTAGTTAGGCTTTTACCTTAGAAATTAATAATAACCTTAGTATTAATTTTTAGTAATAAAGGCTTATTATTAAGTTATAACTAGTTGTTATCTAGTGTTATTATAGCATTATTAGATGTAATTTGCTGCGTTAGAAGTAAGTAAAAAGTGTTAAAGGCTATTCTAATTAGATTTTAACCTAAAATATGCAGATAAAGTAAGATGTGTACTTATAGCGTCCTTAGCAGTTTAGAATTAGCTAGTAAGGTCGCACTGCCCTAGTTAGGTGGGTTAGTGGGCGTGGCAGGAGGAGATGTGAAGCTAGGTTGGTTAGATTGTTTATTATAGCGGCTGTGCGCGTAAGCAAGCTGTTACGTAATCCTTCCTAATTAGGACTAGCCCCCTTCTTCCTGGAAAGGAAGGCTAATCTGCTCGTCTAATACAGGTCCTATCTAACTATAAGAACTTATAGTACTTTATAACTATAAAATAACTTAGCTACTAATAAGCTTATTAGTCTAAATACTTGTTTTATTTTAATTTTAAGATTACTTATTATTCTAGTTAAAACAGAGGGAAACTAGATGCCTTTATAAGGCAATTCTAAGACATCTTTGCTTAAAAAAAAGTGTAAAAGGCTTAACACTAAACTTTACTTTAACTTAAGCTATTTTTAGACCTTAACTTAAATAAAATAAATTAAATAATTAATTAAATTATTACTAATAAGTATTTAAATAATAAATTTATTTAAAAAACTTTAGACCTACTCTAAAACAGCGCTAGTTAGTTAAAGAAGGTAATACTAGCTAACTATAAAAACTAAAATAGTAAGCTATATTACTATAACTAACTTATAATTTTTAATTCTAATAAACTAAGAATTAAACTACTTTAAATTATACATAACTTACCTGTTAAAGAATACCTAGGCAGAGAAAAGACTTTTAACCTACTATAGAGAGAGTACTACTAGCCCTGCATGTTCTATACTGTACACTAATACATATTATGTTGCTATACTTGCTGTAAAGTAAAGGCCTTTTAAAAAAGGTATAATAGCTTACTTAAACTACTCCTAATTTCTAAATAAGCTTAAAAAGACATATTAATTAATTTTATTATAAACCTACTTTTATTTAAAGGGTATATAAATATTATAGTAGTTGTTAATTACTTAACTAAGTATTAACACTTAATACTATGTTTCTTTATAACTGCCCCTAATATAGCCTAGTTATTCTACTAATACATATAAGTTTACTATAGCCTACCTAACATAATTATATTAGACAGAGGTACGCAGTTTGTCTTAGCCTTTTAAAATAAACTTTATAAATAGCTTTAAATTATTCTTTATCTATCTATAGCTTTTTACCTAAAGACTAATAGCTAGACTAAAAATATAAACACTATAATAAAATAAGTCTTATAAGTGTACATAAACTACTAGTAAAATAACTAAGTAAAATAGTTAGCTATAGCATAGTTTAAAGCTAATAACATAACATTTAAATTAACATAAGTATCTCTGTTTTTAGTAAACTATAGATACTACCTTTAAATAAAATTTAAACTACTTATAAATACTTTCTAACTAACTTATTAATTTATATAAGTAATAAATATAAATAAACTTATTAATAAAATTTAAAATATATTTAAATATGTTTATAAAAAGCTTACATAGGCTTAAGCTTTTTAATAAAAGTACATAAACTAATTCTAAACCTTTACCCCTGCGTATGCAGCTAGCAAGAAGGTCTAGCTAGACACTAGAAATATCTAAATAAACTAATAATTAAAGAAACTTAATTAGAAAAACCTTAGCCTCTTTATAGTAGCTTATATAGTCTTATTACATGCTTACTAATTAATTCTACCTAACAGTATAAAAATACACCCTGTGTTCTATGTATTATTACTGCGCTAAGTAGCCTCTAAATCTAACTATCTACCTAGACAGCTAAACCTGCTACTTAAACTTATTATTATAAATAATAAACTAAAATATATTATAAAAGACATTAAATAGATTTAGTTTAATAAAAAAAAATGTATTTATAAATACCTTATAAAATAGACTAGATATAATAAACTATTATAAAAACTTATAAAAGCCTTATAAAAAAACTCTACAGTTACTTAATTCTATGCCTAATACTTATTTAAACTAAACCTATACCTTAATAAAAACAACTTAATGCTAGAACTACTAATGTAAAGAATTCCCTTTTTAATAAGAAGGGGGGTACTGTTACAGTATCCTCCCTAGATCCTAGACATAACTGTATTAGACGTGTACTAAAGTATTATTAGTGCACGTCTAACATAAATATAACATAACATAGATATAAACTTAAGTATAAACTACTTTAACACTAACTAAACCTAGAACAAGCTTAATTTATACTTAAAGTGCTTAGACTTCTAAGCTAAGTATTTAATTACTAATTTCCTTTTAAACTTTTCTATTCCTTACACAACGTCTTGTACCTACTATAATACCTTACGTAGTGTAAGGACGGAGCTCTGTACCACTACGCTAATACAACCAAAAAGGTGCGAATAATCAACCAACAGTTAATTATTGCGTACAGAATAGTATATATACCCGTCGCACGTAAGCACCATCTCGGCCT